ATTAAAATATGATTTATTGCAACTGTATGACAAAGCTTTGAGTTGGTAATTTGAATCCAGAAGTTCAAAGGCAGACTTGATCACATAAGCCTTCGCTTTCAAGAGGCTGACTGTGTCGTAAACATGACATGCATGAGTTTGGCAGAGGGGCCAGGCCATCTCTCATCAAGTCATTGCACACTGATGGCCTCGTGGCCAAAGCAGATTTCAGGGGGAAAGCGTTTGTTTGCACCCCTTGTCACCCTAAGAGTCTGACAACGGTGCTGGATGGGGATGTGAGGTAAACTGTTTAAAGAAGTGAACACAAAACCAAAAGTTACCTTTCCGGGAGGGACCAAACCCAGCTTATATGTAGAACGTCACAGCTGTAAAGAGACCAGAACTAATCTGGTTTGTGATTCAGGTTTTACCACTTGTCCTCACCCTCATCACCTGTCCAGCCAGGGCAGTTTTATCACAAGACACCTGTTACAAATCAGTGCTACACAGAGAAGTATACATGAGTGATAATGCAGGGCTGGGTTTAAATTATAGGTTTCCTATCACAGCACATCCACCATGACTAGAATTTGTGAATGTGTTCAGCATACTAATGCTTTTTACTTTTAATATAATGTGTCCAGAAAGTATAAACAGTTTCGATCTCTGACAGAGCTACAAGTGTCATGAAGATATTTCACACTGAATTATTAATGTGGATTGGAGAGTCATCATAATCTCACTGGCTGAGGTTTAGCAATGCTGACTTTAAATGGCAAACAGATTTCTACAGCTACAAAATCCAAAATGTTTTATATATCCAAATGCAGAAGTGTGGAGAAGATTTCTGTACTGCATAATAGATGCAAAGCATCCATGCATGTGTTATTTCTGACCATGGAGCTTACAATTTATACCTGTTACTACAAACTACCAAAACCCATTCCCAGCAGTTAAGTTTTAATACACTGGCAGCTTGTCAAGAAGTAATTCCCTGTTTCCTTGAAAAAGCTTTGCAGACTTAACTATGCACCTAAATATGCAATAATGTTTCTCACCCCACTTCCCATTCTTAAAAGTTTTCCATTATCATTTGATTGTTCAGCTTGAAAAATTCAGAATCTTTTGTGCATACTAAAAAAACAATGTGAAACAATTATATTACGAGCTGCTGCTACCAGCTGAGCTTCATTATTTTCAATATTTTGCCCTGAATTATTCTTCATTAGTTTTTAAACTACTCACGGTGTCTGTTAAAAGATATATTTGACACCTCCCTTCAAACACAAAGTTAAAGTATATTTGATGCTGCCAATCAATTTTGCCACTTCTGTCAGCACACTGAGGTATTGTGAATAGTGATTTTCATGAGAAATTTTCTCAATCCAAAGTCTTCCACAGAACCACTCATTTCCAAACACAAGAGCTTTCACTTTGAAGACACCTTTATCTTGAATCTATGAAGTGCAAATGGGTGGTGAGGAAAACCACAATCACCTTAGCTAATTTAAAATAATCCTGTTCTTACTGAGTTTTGACATTCTTTTCTGTTCTTGCAGATAGGTTCCAAGCTGTACCAGACAGTTCATTAGACTAAAAACACTTACTCTGCCTACCCAGAGAATTGGACATAAGATCTACCTGTTAATTTTTATTTTTTTCTTGAAAATGTTGGAAATGCATCGTAAAAAGATATTAACTCCAGCTTGGGACTAGAAGCTTTAATGAAATGATTATTGCTGCTCTTTTTAATTTGGGCTTTTTCCAAAGTGATTTCTACTAGGCTGCTGTGCAATTTCAAAAATAAAATAAACGTTAACTCTTTTCTTCAACACAATCTCAACAACACGAAATTTCTCCACTCTAAAATCTGAACAGCACTGCAGCCATCATTAGCAGCCTTAGAAATTTTGTTTGCGAGTCTTAATTCACGTATGACTATAACGTATGCCTTTAGCAATCACCAGTAAGCTGGATATGATGCACTGACCAGTATGCCAGGTGCCTAGAAACAACCCATTAGGTAGAACTGGGAGAAGGAGAATACAGAATATTGGTAATCACCTGCAATTCTCCAGCACAATAAAATCCCACCAGAGAAGGGAGAGAGGAGCCTGGGCTTGACAAAGTAATTGTAAGAACAAAAAAGGGAAGGTCCTAGGTTCCAAATATTTGAACATCCTTATTTCCCACAGATTTCACATTTAACCCTTGAGCACCTCTGAAAATACAGACTTCCATGACTCATGTTTTATAAATGCCTTTAGAAAAGCATAAGAGAGCTTCAAGTTTCCAAATATATGGTAAGTCTTAGGCATATTTCCATTTAATCAGAGAATCCTCAGAAGTATTTTAGAGCGGGCTTGAGAAAACCTCTTGGTTTCCCTGCTGCTTTGAGCAGAAGAGGTGTTTGAAAGCCCGTGAAGAAGGGCAGTTGTATAAATGCCTGTCTCCATGCAGATTTTCCATCGGGTGTGACATTTAACCTCAGCTGACTAGATAGATCAGCACATTGCTTTATTAAATTGCTCAAGAGGAGCGGTGGTCTGACTCACTGGAGAAGCTTCAGACAACTCATTTACTGCTGGCAAAAAGGCTTGGCTCCCATAGACATTTCAACATGATGCAGTGCAGCACCTCAGGCTTCTGCCACTCAGAGGCAGCGGCATCTCCAGATATCCCATGGGCTATTTCCAGTAACCCCTGGGTACAATTAAGGAAGAGATACAGAAATCAGCTCGCCAGGAAGCAATCTGAGCTAATAGGAATGAATCGCAGGCAAATTTGGGGAGATTAAGCCTATAGGCAACTAAATTCCATTCAGATCATCTGCTTACATCACATCTGCCTGGAAAGAAGCTGGTTACTCCAGCTGATGTGCACTAGGGCACTGGCAAGAGATAAACACAGAAAATTAGTCCTTGTATGGTTATAGCATAGTGTCCAAATCCCTAATTCAACACAGGGATTTCAAATTGTATTGCACAGGTGTGCTTTAAACACCAAGCTCACTGGGTCTTCTGCAGCAGAGGTTTTTTAGTGCATGTAGCCTGTTGATCAATTGAATAATACAGAAAAATATTTGATCTCATTGAGGCGTATTAAAGCTGGTGAATCTAACTCTGGAGTGCTGTGTGTCCACAATGCACTTCCCAAGCCATACTTGCTTTCAAATGCATCTTAAAGTTTGCATGATATCTGTTTTTGGATGGGAAAGGACTAAGATTTACACCAAGAGCTGAGTCCCAAGATCACTGCCATCACTGAGGTTCATCAGAAGCACCTTCTTGGACTCCATCTAAAGACATCAGAGTTTGATTCAAGTCTGTGGTTTGTAATAGTCAAGAGCTACATTGCCTACCCAAAGAGGGCAATAGCCACCTCATGTTGAATCTAGGAAGAAAGTACCTAGTAGAAATGAGATAAATTACTTCACAACAAAACTTGTGCCAATTTACAGGTTAGGGTTTCAAATCAGATGTACTGCAGCAACACTGCAAGCATTCTCCCATTTCAAGCCTTACCCTTTAAAAGTTTTCATTTAAATCTTTTATGCTTCACTTTATAAAAAATTAAAAGAAAGAGAGTTTTCCTGCAATTAAGAAGTACTCTGCGTACTTTTAGAAGGGGCTGCATTTTTAAGATGCTGGCAGGCGGTGTTCGGTAATTGGAGTTGACACTTGGCAAAGTGAGCATGCACACCTGACCCTGCCAGGACGTCTCTCATCTTGCCTCCCTGCGCATGGAGGCATCCTCCTGCAGCATCGGAGTGGCAGGCGGCAGCCCTCAGTCAGCTATTCAGCTCGCTGAAATATCCGGGTAAAGCACTGAAAACAGCCAGCCGTTATTTATAGCACACAACAAAAGATCAGGGGATTTGTGGAAAGGAAATGAAAGAGGAGCAATTTCTGGCTTCCTTCAAAGTTGTAGCAAATATTAATAGCATAAGGAAATGTGAGAATTTTGCATGAAAGTGAAAAACCGGGGAGAAACAGAAAGAAAGTTCCCTTTTAAACAACAAAGAGACATCTACCTGCCAACTGCCATGTAAGTGGAAAAGAGTTAATGTCAGACCTTGACAGGCAAGCCTGAGAAATCTGTAACACTGATATTGCTCGGATTTTTATTTTTTATTTTGTCTTTACAAGGCCCTTTTAGACAGCAGCAAATGAAGAAAGAGAAGGAAAGGGAAGCTTTGTAAGTAAGGCAATGGGGGGAAATCAAGTCAATCTCATCAAGGCTAGGACATAAATATAATGAATATAAATGAGAGCCTCTTACCCACAGCAACAAGAAGTTACTTCTGGGATTTGTCTCAATGGCATACCTGAGACTAAGCTCAGTTTTTCCATAGCTAGCCAAAACTGTTGACAGAGAAATCTCTCTGCTGGCAATCTAAGTGTGCTTACTGCACGGGTCTGGCAGCAATGCTCACAGCCTTGTGCCGACAGCAAGAAAAGCCCACCACTTGTACGGATCAGAGATGCTTGAATTTGTAATGAGAAGTTACTGTCACTCTGGAAAAATGTTGTGATACAGCTTCACATCAAATTTTTCAGCAGCCAAGTCATCCGGAGTCACTCTACGTACATCATGCGAGTTCTTCAGTCAGAAGGCTACAGCCAGGCACTGACAGAAAATACAATCTACCTCACTTGAGATGCAACCAAGGCCTTTTGTGTTCTTCTTTACTCTCAGAATGCTTGATAGCAGCAACTGTGGAGTAGTTAATGTTAATAAAAGCATTGGTGCATCCCTCTGCACCTAATCAGATCTAACGCCACGAAAATCCTGTAAATTATGACAAGCTACATCTTTGTTCATTAAAACTGTGTATAAATAAAGAAAATTGTCACTAGCCCATGTTCCAATTTTTTTTCACGGTTAATAAAAAGAGACATTAGCTTGCAGCAAAAGAGACAGCACCATGCCAACATTTGCAAAGCTGTACTGGCAAAGAAAATCATGTATTTGCAGTAATACATTCTGTACATTTTTGACTCAGGATACATATCCAAGACTGAAGAAAAGAATGTACGAAGTCATTTCATTTATTCATGAAATATGTATGATCAGAGGCTCGATTCTAATTAGGTCATACAATTACAATAAGTCTCTTTGAATTAACACCTTGCCTTTGATAACAATGAACAAGCTTCCAAGTATATAGCACAACAAAAATTACAAAAGCAGCTGTGGATTTTTTAACCATTTCTTGTTAAGAAAGGCAGTTGCTTCCGAACTGCTGTGAGTGGCATTGGTATATACCATATATGCATGCTTAGTTCATAAAGAGAATCTCACTCTTTCCTAACCTGCAGTAGGATCACTGGTTTTATATGCAGGAGTTAAGGAAGGGGCAAGCCTTGATAGCTACAGCCCTCAGACAATTTGGTTCCTCTTCTCTCGTGCTACTCAGTGACCATACAAGAGCCTCTCGCCTTGCAAGACGACATAGATTAGAAATATGAAACAAATGTGTTTAGAGGAATAATAATAATAATAAAAAAGTGGTTATGAAAGGTGAAAATAATTTCTTGGCACTCTCAGCAAACTGTTAAGCAAGCTAAAAGAGAAACGTCAAAAGGTCTGTTGCATAATAGTTCAAAAACATATGGGGTTCTGGGAAAAAAAAAATAAATCAACATCAGGCCCAGCCCCTCTTCCACCAAGTCAGTGGTAAAGATCACGTTCAAGAGAATATGCTGCTTGTTACATGAGAGGTACGTATACTTTTGTGACTCTTCATCATAAAATATGGAAGGTTTTAACAGATTTTTGCTTTTTTTTTTTTTTTTTTTTTTTGCAAACTTCCATATATTGTATGAAAAGAAAAAAAATAACCTTACACAGAGAGACAAGCAAAAGCCTATGCAATATACAGTCTAGGCTTATCTGAGAATTTGAAATTCCTATATGTCAGTTTACTCATCAGTAAGCTCAGGTAGGACAGTGTGACAAAGTACAAACGTGAGATCCTTGTTACAAAAGACAACAAGAACATGTTTAAAAAAGTGTTTGAAGGGTCAGAGACAGCTTTATGGTAGCAACGGATGAAGTCGGCCTCTTTTCCTCTTTTCTCTTCACATGGTTTCTTCCTTGCTAGTGGAGAAAAAGACATAGCTGCATTTATCTCAGGGATACAGAAAGAAATCTCTTTCATGTGGTAAGAACTTGAAAAGTTAAATTCTTGAAATGTGTATTTCTGCAAACAAAACTCAAATATATATATATATATATATATATATATATATATATATACAAATAAAAATCTCCAAGCCTATCACTCCATGTTGTGCATACCCTGCCAGGTTTACTGTTCTCAAAAAAAAAAAAAAGCAACAACAAATCCACAACCCTTCCTCGACATCCATGAATTCTGTATAATAAAGCAATTAATACTAATAATACTTTGGCTTATATAGTGCTTCTCAGCTAAAGTTATCGAAATACTTCACAAAGCTTAATATTTGAAAGGGATTAAAAACCTCAGTACTTCATGACATAAACCAGGCTTAATATGAGGCAAAAAGAACAGTAGGAGGAAATTTCAAATTATTATTTCAAAATCAGCTGTTTTTGTGTTCTTGCAGCTTTCTCTGAAGCAAGATCTCTGATCTCTAAGGACCCGACATGGTTCTGATCCAAGAAGTTAATAATAGTTGTTCTTACTCCTTAGTTTTAGAAAGAAAAACCAGGAGCTGTGGCTGAGACACCATTGTACACAACCAAACTGCCTTAGAGTTGATCAGATACAATGATTTAGATATCACAAACACTGATCTGCAACATGGATTTCTCCTTTCTCTGTCCTGTGCTTTGATGAATAGATCACACTTGTGCTCCTTACAGCCTAATGCTGTTCAGCAGTTTCAGAGCTATGGCATATAAGATTGTATCCATGGCTATTTTAGCATAGAAACAAATGAAGCATTAGTACATCACTTTCAAAGATCCACATTGCTCTCTTTTATGATAGTTTTTCTTAACATAAGTAGTGATGCTTTTCTGTATTGCTGTGCACTAAACCAGGTTCCATTCTTAAAGAAAACAAACAAACAAAAAAAAACAAAACTAGGTTTTATATCTTTTATGATACTGATTCTGAAATAATTTTTTTTCTTCATTACCAGTGTTCATTGCTGCATTAAAAAAAAAAAAAAAAGATTAAGAGCACTTGTCACCTTCAACAGAGAATTAAATCCATTCAAGTAACAAAAGAGACCTAGTTGTCACAGTATTTGTCATGTCTGTCATGCTGCATCCTTACATGACAATGAAAAACAAGTCTTTGGCTTGCACACATGCAATAATCATCACAGAAAGCTTTCCAAATCCTGATGTGGTTGATGGCAACAGAAAGGATCAGGAAAGGGCCTGAGTGCTGCAGGGGGGTGCAGAATCAGTCAGAGAATATTCTGAATAGAGCTTTATCCCTGTAACACTTAGCTCTGCCCTAGGTTTCCAAGCTACATATTTCAGCCAGAATAAAACCACCAATTTAGGAAATGTTGCAGAAAATTTGGGCATTGTGGCCAAATTCCTTTCTTAGATCCACTGTCTCTAGAGGCACAAATGGGAGTCTCCAATAATGTTAGTACACTTTTATTGTTACCTATCACTACTATCATAATTACCATATTGTTAATTCAGTACAAGTGACTCCAGTCCCCATTCTTAGTTTAACAGCAAAGCTACATATGAAAAGGATACGTAGCAAAACCATACACACTTGCTATAATACTTATTATTGAAGTGAGCTAGTTGCTTCAGATTTTAAAATGAATTGGGGGAGCAACACTTTTTAGCATATTTTACTCTCTTTTTATTTTTAAAATTTGTTTATTTTTTCCCCTTCTCTCCTCTCCTCTTTCTTAAAGCACTACTCCAGCTGCACTGAGCTGATCTTGTTCCTGATGTGCAGCTCATCCCTGACCAATGGGCCACTGGCCTTCCTTCAGCTTGTGTGCAGAAATATGCAACAGATTTGTCATTCCTTTAACTTTCTAGGATGAGGAGTGGACCAGGACAAGAACACTGAAGTCACTTTCAGTGAGCTCTCACATAAAAGCAGAAGGCTTAGTCCTCAATCAGCAAGGGTCCATGGCCTGAAGCAGAAAGCAAAAATTAGGCCTGGAACAGTGGAATTCAAAACCCGAAAAGCTTCAATAATACTTGTTTCATTCTACACTAATTATTTATAAGATTGACAAAATCAGAGTTCCACAGCAAACTGCCTTGTACTAGGAAAATTAATCAATAATACTAGAATACAGAGAAATTAGGCAAGTGACAAAGTCCATGCCTGTAGTACATTCTCTGTGTCATGCAGCTAAGCCAAACTGTCACGCTTGAGAACTCTGACCTCTGAACCACATCCCCTCCCATCTGGAAATGAAAGACCTGGTGACAGAAAGCACTAATTGCTCAGCCTCCACAAGCAACACCTACTTGGGAAAAGGCTGCTCTACAGAGTGATGTGTACACGTAACCTAGAGGAGGGCTTTTTCTTTTTACGACAGTTTCTCATGCACAGCCTGAAGATGTCATTACCGGTTCCCCTGAACTCATCTGTGCTGAATCGTAGAAAATGGTTCGACATTTCTGCATTTCTGTCTGACATTAATCGGGGTTAATTGATGATAATGGTAAGGGTAATTAGTTTTAACAGGCACTAAGTCCCGTACCCCAAGCCTCTTATGACTGCAATAGAACAGCAGTCAAAATGTGGCATGAAAAATAATATGGCAATATCCATTTTTTTTGCAGATGTAGAGTGCTGGGGATTACATACACATATGTATGCACTTGCATATGTCTGCGTGTGTATCTAATTGCTTTAGAAATACTGAAATCTTATCCAACGTGCATTTTTAAAAATTTTATTTATATATTTATTTATTGTTATTGATGTTGGCTGAAATGAAGAAGGCTGAAGATTGCCAAGAAACACTCCAGCATCAGGCGGGAAACTTGCACCATTTTGCCCAGGAAGAAATAATTCCTTGAGCTATCATTTAAAAATAATTATAGCTGTGACTTCCCGGTTTGCAAACCTTCACTACATTTTTTTTTTTTTTTTTCAAGCTGTGTGAAACATCCAGTTTGGGAACAGTAAGATGAAAAGCTGAAGTTACAGTTCATCTGTCTAGTGCAATGGCCTGAAACCTTAGGCAGATGCTGTCACACTAGGCTCCGAGATGACAACATGCGAAGACTAAAGTGCCTGCTTCTTCTCTCTGTTATCCTGTGACTTCCTACGTCCCTCCTATCTCCTCTCCCATCAAAGGTTTTCTCATTGTAAGCCTGGCACCCCTTGTGTTGGTATGTTTGGGATCTGTATCCTTAACAGTGCATTCAGGTGACACACAACATCTGTACCAACCAGCCATCACCCATGTTTCTGCTGGGCAGCTAAGACTGGCTTACACAATGTGTGCCAGGACCTAGGTTTTCATGTTATTAATATTATAGTTTTATTGAAATGCCAGAAAAAGTCACCAAAGATCAGTCTTAGCCCAGTTTTACCTGCAAGCACAGTAAAACATGGATGGGCGAAACAACAGGTTCTGTGAAATTCAGCACATCACGGAGAAAACCACACATCCTGTTTGGTCTGTAGGAACAGCGTAAGTCTACATGGGGCAGAGCAATCATCTCACACTTAATGCAATTCACTTCTATAAATTCAATTTGTCCTAGAAAGCCTGGTAAATATCTGACACTGAGACAGAAATAGAGAATAAAATAGAACAGCCCAGTTGGAAGGGACCCACAAAGGTCATCGAGTCCAACCGCCTGACCGCTTCAGGGCTCACCAGCAGTTAAAGCACATCCATGGGGCATTGTCCAAACGCCTCCAACACTGACAGCCCTGGGGCATCAGCCGCCTCGCTAGGAGACCTGTGCCAGCGTTTGACCACCTCCTGGTGAGGACATTTCCCTGATGCCCGGTCTGACCGTCCCCTGGCCCAGCCTTGTGCTGTTCCCTGTGCCCTGCCATCGGCGACCAGGAGCAGGAACCGGCACTGCCCTCTGCATCCCCACCTCAGGATGCTGCAGAGAGCCATGGGGGCACCTCTTGCTGTCCTCTTCTCCAGATGAGACAACCCAGATGCCCTCAGCCCCCTCACAGGACAGGCCTTCCAGGCCTTCTTCACCAGCTGTCTTGCCCTCCGCTGGGCACTTCCAAGCACCTTAATGTCCTTGTTATGTATGCACACAACACTCCGGCTGAGGCTGCACCAACATTAAATACAGTGGGAGAGTATTTACTCTCTTTTGACTTGCTGGCTGTGCTGTGTTTAATGCACAACAAAATGCAGTTTGCCCACCTGGCTGCCAGGGCATGCTGCTGGCCCATGCTGAGCCTGCTGTCACCAGCACCCCCAGGCCCCTTTCTACTGAGTTGCTAAGAGACATGTTTAAGAAGACAGGAGATTATCTTCTGAGGATGAAGGGAAGATGACCCTTCCCAGAACTACATGGCAAAAGTAACTGTTGTGACTTTGGGGGTTAGGCTGATGGAAGGAGGCTAGGATGTGATCACAGCATGACAAGGGAAGTTTACAGTTGCATGGCATAAAAGCCTGATCCTAAGTTTTCTTAAAGTCTTTAAGACAGATATTAAAATAGTAACGCAGGCAGCAAGCGCTTGTAATCCCACTGAGTTCAATTACTTCAGAATGTGCTCAGCACTTCTGAGCACTAAGCTATTTATTTACTTGTCTCTACGTACATATAGACATACATTTCAGTGTCCTGTTTTAGACAAGTAAACGTGACAACACAGGGTTTAATCTTTCTGCTGTGCCACCTCAAATGCTATTATACCTTCTTTAAAAGGAACATTCTTCCCTCATTTCTGTTTTTATAGCAATACTGTGGGTTTCAGGCACCAGTAACATGACAACCCAGAGAAGACATTTTACAATTTCCTTATCATCTGCTTTGGGGTGGAGCATGAAAGCAAGATGGCTGCTCAAGTCACACTGGTGTTACAGAGCCAAGGTGAACAAAAAGTGTTTATAATTACAGTTTAGACTTGAGACTGAGAAATGAGGTGATTATTAGCAAGGGCATGATTACAGTGTCCCATCCCT